GTATCTTTCCTCCCAATTCTACTTGTATAATAGTGTTGCCTTTTCTAATCATATATAAAATTAAGGATTTGTATGATGGAGTAATCTTGAATTTGAGATGATTAGAGGATTTCGTATTATTGTAGACTTGCTTTTAAGGATTTGTACGATGGAGCAATCTTGAATTTGAGATGATTAGAGGATTTCGTATTATTGTGGACTTGCTTTTAAGGATTTGTATGATGGAGCAATTATGAATTTGAGATGATTAGAGGATTTCGTATTATTGTAGACTTGCCTTTAAGGATTTGTACGATGAAGCAATCTTGAGTGTGAGATAATTAGAGGATTTTGTATCATTTTAGACTTGCTATTAAGGAATTGTATCATAGAGCAATCTTGAGCCTGAAATGATTAGAGGATTCTTGTCGTTGTAGACTTGCTTCAAAATATTATTTGAAGTCCGTATTGTTTCCCTTTAGTTGTGGATGAACTTACGAGATATATACTAGATGAGGTTCTTTGGTGAATGTTACTCGCTGATGACATAGGTTTAGTAGATACAAATAAAAAAGGGTTAATTTGTAAGTTAAAACGTTGGAGGAGTGCTCTGGAATATGAAGGAATTTTCCTAAGAGAATATTTGGTGATTGTGTTGCAAGAACATGTATTATAGTAGAGTCATGATAGGTGATTGTGTTGTCCCAAAGGGGATTGTTTCAGGCATTTATGCTTGATTGTAACTAAGGATAAATTTCCTAGGAAAATGCGTATGAATAGAGCTGGTTAGATTTCTATGTGATAGGAAGATACCTATAAGGTTAAAAGGAAACTTTTACACAACCTGCTACATTTATGCATCTGGTTTTGGGTTGTTGAAGGACAAAATTTCATTGTAAAGAAATATGATGTTAAGAGAGATGCTGCTAGATTTGATAAGATATTAATGACATCATATTACAAAAAGTGGAGGGTGTTGCCTATCTAAAATTAATTGAGTGTCAACTTAGATGCTTATGCGTGTTGTATAGATTTAAAAAGAAGCTCCTGGTCACTAGAGTGATAGAATTCCAATAGAATATGTCAGAAGATGGAGAGTACAGCAAATTAACATGTAGTGCAATTGATAAGGATATAATTGCATTGGATCTTCAAGTAGATTTAAAATGGACCAACAAAAGTGGGCAAAATGGATACGTGTAGACAACTCCATTTTTTTTTTGGCAATAAGATTAGTTTTTTGTTGTAAATCTACAATGTTGTATGTATTGTTGAACGGTCACCCTATCTCATGGATTGTTACATTGATTTTAAATTTTGGTAGTTTGTTAAAGGTGAGCAGTATACTAGCTGGTGTATCAATTTTTCCCATTCTTTTTTCGAGGAAAATTTTTCCTTACGAAAAGGACCAAGGAGAAGATTCAGAGTTTTAGTACATGTTCTTCTGTTGCCCTTAACCTAACAAACAAACATCTAAATTCATTTAAGAATAATTTTGGTATTCGAACAGTTGTCACCATTTCTCTATGAAACTGCCACCTAGCTATGTAAGAAAGATTTTGACAAACAAAATTTGTGTATGAATTGTTTAATTAATATACTTTGTTAGAGAAAGAGGTGCATATATTTACCAGCTACCCCTCTAATTTTGAGGCAGAGGTTCGGGGCCCATTGCTTATGTCATGGGTTTGAATCTTTTTTACCAGCAATGAAAATGACAACATTATGTGGTGACATATGAAGTTGATATTTTTATATATTGGAACTTATGTGCTCGACTTAGTTTTGAATTGATTGTGTGAACTGTTTGTCGAGTTTCCTAACTTGGTGCGGAAGCGTTTATGAAATTCTTGTAATAAGAATGATGTAATAAATAAGAACGATATTTGAACAATCATGTCTGGTATATATTGAATAATAATTGATTATTGTTGAGAAGTGTACAATACTTTTATATTTATTGGCAAAATTATTCCTTAATCCTATTAATGTAAGTAAACTAAGGCTGTGTTTGATTGCAAGGGTGAAAAATGGGTGGAAAGAAAATGTTTTACAGGGAAAAGATTTTTCTAGAAAATGTTTTGCTGGGAATTGTAATTAAGTGTGTTTGATTGGTAATTTTCTACCCGAATTTTTTTTAAAAGTTTGGATCTTTCTGTTCACGTTTGACTTTATTTTACATGGAAAGTGTACATTAAAAATGAATTTTTTTTTA